CAAATTTCTGCAGCCAGCTTGAATTCTCCTCAGAAAATGGGATTTTCTTTTCCATCGCATAGTCAGGCTGCAAATTTTCCAAATTTTTATGCTGTTTCCCTTTTAAAACTGAATGCCTTTAACAGCACCCAAGTTATGTCCTGAATGTTTTGCTGCTTAGAAATTTCTTTCACCAGATACCATAAATCATCTTTCAAGTTCAAAGTTCCACAAATCTCTAAGGCAGGGGCAAAATGCCACCAGGCTCTTTGCTAAAACCTAACAGTCACCTTTGCTGCAGCTCCCAGCAAGGCAAGTAAGAGACCACCTCAGCCTGGACCTTACTGTTCATATCGATATCACCATTTCTGTCAAAGCCATTCAACAAGTCACTAGGAGGTTTCAGACTTACCCACAATTTCCTGTCGTCTTCTGAGCCCTCCAAACTGTTTCAGCCTCTCCCTGTTACCCAGTTCCAAAGTCACTTCCGCATTTTCAGTTATCTTTTTAGCAATGTGCCACTGTACTGGTACCAATTACTGTATTAGTTCGTATTCATGCTGCTGATAAAGACATACCCAAGACTGCGAAGAAAAAGAGGTTTAATTGAACTTATAGTTCCACGTGGCTGGGGAGGCTTCGGAATCATGGTGGGAGCAAGAGAAAATGAGCAAGAAGCAAAAGCAGAAACCCCTAATAAACCCATCAGATCTCGGGAGACTTACCGTCATGAGAATAGCACAGGAAAGACCGAACCCCATGATTCAGTTACCTTCCCCTGGGTCCCTCCTACAACATGGGGGAATTCTGGGAGATACAGTTCAGGTTGAGATTTGGGTGGAGACACAGCCAAACCATATCAAAGAGCAAAACCACTGTAACCACTTCAGGCAAGGGCCAGTGCCAGGCATCCTCACCTTGTCCTCATGGTGTGATTCCCTCCAAGAAACGCGATACATTCTCCCCATGAAGCCACAGAGTGCAGAAGTCAGGGGACTTCCCATGTGGTGGGATAGGGGAGCAGGGGGCCTCCCCCTGTAGCAGAGCTGATTGTCCCAGGGGAGGCCTTTGGTTTACCAGGTGCTGCTGGCCTGAGTACAACAGCAGGCTCTGGGACCTCTTGGCAGCTCCATCCAGAGGAGAGGAGTTGAGCCCTCACCTCCTTCTCCTGCCACGGAGCAGGTACATCTGACATGCAGGATGAGCTGGCTTCTCTTGGGCCTCAGGGACCCTGAACACAGCAGAGTCGGAGCAGTGGGGCCCACTCTCCCACCCAGGCCTCAGCAGGAGGCGAGGTCCCTGGCTCCTGCCCCTGGGGCCTGGGGCCTGCAGCTGTCCAGTCAGGCTAGGTGCTGAGGACCAAGCCAGTAGTTCTTGGTTTTCTGGCCACCCTGCATCCAAGGTGGCAATGTCCGGGGCCTGTACTCTAGTCACAGAGCTCCTAGGGGTCCCGAGCCCCGGCCCACGCACCCCTCACCTTTCAGCAGCCGACCCCATGGCAGCACTGGCCTGGCCACCCGGAAGCACGCCACCCCGAGGGCCCACAGCCACCTGTCCTCCAGCCCCATCTCTGCCCTCTGGTTCCCCGGCCTCCCCTGTGCCAGCTGCAGTTTCATTTGTACCTTGGCCCTGCGCTGGACGTGCTTTCTCTAGTCACGTCCTCGCCATGAGCCACTGTCCTCCTGCCCCCTGGCCTCTTACACTTTCCATTCTGCAAAACCTCAACTGGAGGCTCTCCCCCACGTGCTGCCCACCGTCCTTCATCAGACCATCATCACCCTCCTCCCCTCAGTGGGGGACGGGGGCAGTGCTCCCCTCTTGACCGGCTCCCTGCTGGGCCTCCCGCTCCAGCTTTGCCTCCACATCATCATGTTCTGTCCCTGGTCTCCTCTCACTTCTTTCCCTGCCCTCATCTAACCCGTGGCTTCCAGGGAGGACAGTTCGGCCTCTGCCTCTCCCAAGCGCTGCCTGCGGGAGCCTGCACAGAGGCCCCACAGCGCCGCAGAACCAGACCCTTTGCCCTCGCATCTGTCGCTGCTCCTCTGTTCCCTGTTCCAGAGATGGGCACTGTCCCTCCAGAGGCCCAAGCTATCGACCGATCTGACAAGAGCCACAGTAAATATTTTCGGCTCTGTGGACCACACGGACTCTGTTGCATCTAGCCTGCTCTGCCATTCGAGCATTAAGAGCCAATCAACAAATGAGCATGGCTGGGTGCTGGGAAAACTTGATTAGAACAGGATGGCTTCTGCACCGGAGTTAAAGACGAGCTTGGACAACAGGGCAAGACCCTGTCTCTACAAAAAAATGTAAAAATTAGCTGAGTGTGGTGATGCGTGCCTGTACTCCCAGCTACTCAGGAGGCTGAGGTGGGAGGATCACTTGAGCCCAGGGGGTTGAGGTTGCCATGAGCCACGTTTGCACCACTGCACTCCAGCCAGGGCAACAGAGCGAGACCCTGTCTTAGAAAAACAAAACAAAACAAAAAACAAACAAAAAAAAAACGGCAGCAGCAGTCACATTGGACGCGCAGGCCACAGTTTGCTGACCCTGATCTAAACATGCCCAGCTTTCAAGCCATGTTTTTGTTTTTACCTCCACAAAATCCCTGCGGGTCCCTGGTGTGCTTTGTATGCATCTGGGCCTTGTGTACCTGGCTGCCTCTGAAGGGAGTGCTCTCAGCTTTGTGTCTTCGGCTCGGCCAAGGCTCCTTTAGGAAGGCCTCCTTGATGCCTCCTCCCTGGCCGACCTCGGTCCTGCTTCTCTCTTGCGCAGTCCTCTGCTCTCTTCTTTCTGGGCACAAAAATTGTGGACCGCGCTGCTCTGCGCGTGCTTACCTGTGTCCCATGAGGCCCTCCGCTCTCCAAGGTGGACGCTCTTGCTGGGTTTGTGTCACTGGCGCCTCGTGTGGTGCCTGGTCTGCAGTCAGCCTTCGATCAGGTCAAAGTGGGGTTTCATGAGTGATGGATCTGTGGTCATGGCGGGTGGCTGAGGCGGCTCAGCAGGGCTCCTGCCAGGAGGGCTCAAGGAGCTGCAGCCCACGCGGAACTATGGCTCAACCCACGCGTGGCTCTGTGCTCAGCTTCTTGTGGCACAAGGATGCTGAGCACAGAGCCATGTGGGGGTTGCTTCACTGCGCTTCTGACTCCCCTCAGTGCTCAGAAGGGGCCGTCACCGCCCTAAGCCTTGTCAGGGCCAAAGCTGCCTGTCCCAGACCCCATGCTGCTCCCAAGGCAGGACTGTGAGGTCCCTCTGGAGGGCAGTGTGGTTCCTGGCTGACGTTTCTCATCAGGATCGGGGTGTTTCTTCCCAGAAGTATCTGAACTTTCCCCTGACAGGCCCTGCCTTTGCCTCTGACCCTCTGCTGCCTCTCACAGGAGAACCTCATGCTTTCCATCCTGCCCAAGCACGTGGCTGACGAGATGCTGAAAGACATGAAGAAGGACGAGAGCCAGAAGGATCAGCAGCAGTTCAACACCATGTACATGTACCGCCATGAGAACGTCAGGTGCGCCGGTCCGGGGCGCGGGCCCTACGGCAGAGCAGGCTGCGCAGGGATGAGTCTTTTCGGGACCCATGGGGTGCTGTGGGCTTTGAGAGGTTTCCAGGGTCTAGAAGTGAGGCTCCCCATGGCACCCATCAGTCCGCAGGTGCTTTAGCTACAGTGCGCTCTAGGCAGCCTGGTCCCACCCCGTCATAGAACACACATCACCAAGGGCAGGGAAGGGACTCCTGTGAGCTCACCCAGCTGTTCGGGGCCAGCACTGGGGCTCAAGCCCTGACCTGCAGTTCGAGGAAGAAGGGTAGGTTCAGCCCGGCAGGAGCGGGAAAGTGTGGGGTGGTCCCCAGGCAACCCAGGGAAGGAGGCTGCAGGGGGATGTCCACTAGGACAAGTGCAGTGTCAGAGCCCTGATTTTACCTGGAGGGACCAGGGTCTCACTGCGTGGGGATGAGTGAGGATCTTCTCCCACCCTGATCCCAGCTGCCCTGTGGATTGGGGAAGGGCTGATGGTGGAGTGGGGTGCGCCTGGCTGCCTGGAGCCTCACCCAACGGTCCCTTCTCCTGCAGCATCCTCTTTGCTGACATTGTGGGCTTCACCCAGCTGTCTTCTGCCTGCAGTGCCCAGGAGCTCGTGAAGCTGCTTAACGAGCTCTTTGCTCGCTTCGACAAGCTGGCAGCTGTAAGTCCCTGGCCCTGCCTGGCGCTCTAGCAGGGCCTGCCCTCGGCCTGTGCCTGGCCCCTGCCTGGCACTCTAGCAGGGCCTGCCCTCAGCCTGTACCTGGCCCCCACCTCCAGCCCCATGGTTTTCTCCCACTGGTCTTCCCCTGCTTTCTCGGCCACTCCCCCATCGCCGAGGTGGGCTCTAGCACAGGCCAGGCCCTCCCCTTTCAGAAATACCACCAGCTGCGGATTAAGATCCTGGGTGACTGCTACTACTGCATCTGCGGCCTGCCTGACTACCGGGAGGACCACGCTGTCTGCTCCATCCTCATGGGGCTCGCCATGGTGGAGGCCATCTCGTAAGTGGGGAGGCTCCCAGAGCAAGGGGCCCCCACCCTGGGCCCAGGGAGAAGCAGGTCTTCTGCTTTGGCTGAGGCCCCAGGGTGGGGGGGGTCTGCTGGTGGCAGAGACTGCACCCGCTGGGATACAGTGCTGGTTGATGGGTGGCACAGGTCCCCGCTCTGGAAGCTGGGACAGGGCTTATCTCCTCACAGCCCAGGGAACCTGCGAGGCTTCCCCAGCCGGTCTCACTTTTCCAGCCTTAGCACATGTATTTTCTTTTTGCTGCAAGTTGCAGTTGTGAAATTCCTCACGCCTCACACTTGCTGGGACCCCCACAGGTGCTCTCCATCACTCTTCCATGTTTTCTCACCATGACCCCTGGAGGCATTGCCCACCCATTTCATGATGCAGTAACTGAGCCCTAGCGCAGGGGCTCAGGGATGGGGCTGGAGCCCCCCCAGCCTCTGCTGCAGCCTAGGCTGTGAGGGAGCAAACTCTCCTGCCTCACTGTCCCCACTCTTGGCTTTGCCCTAAGTGGGCTTGCAGCTCTCAGATGGGCAGTCCCTCTGGTTGACTTCCAGCCTCTGGGGGACCCGGGGTGACACCAGGCATCTACGCAGAAAAGAAAGCCCCTGCCGAGGCCCCTCCCCCAAGGGATGGAATCCAGGAAGTTGTACGCTCTTTGCCACCTTCTCCGAGGGGTCAGCTTTGCATTTTTACCATCTTCCAGGTTAAACCCCTCTAGTATCACCCTGGAAAGAAAGCAATGTGGCCTTTACCCCAGGGATAGTAGTCCAGGATTAGAAAATCTAACCTCCGCTCCCAGCCCTGGCAGACGCATTCAGAGAAGGGCTGTTCACAGCTAATTTGTCCACCTCTGTATCTGCAACACTTTGAATGTGCCTGGCACATACTTGACGCTCAGTGAAATATTAACTGCACGAATGAATAAAAGAGTGCTCGGGCTAGGCGCAGGGGCTCACGCCTGTAATCCCAGCACTTTGTGGGAGGCTGAGGCGGGTGGATCACCAGGCCAGGAGATGGAGACCATCCTGGCCAACATGGTGAAACCATATCTAAAATAGAAAAGTTAGCTGGGTGTGGTGGTGGGCACCTGTAATCCCAGCTACTCGGGAGCCTGAGGCAAGAGAATTGCTTGAACATGGGAGTTGGAGATTGTGCCGCTGCACTCCAGCCTGGGTGACAGAGCGAGACTCCGTCTCAATTTAAAAAAAAAAAAAAAGTGATCAGCCGAGAGACACTGGAGGACCCTTGGGAAGCGGGGGATAGGGAGGAGAGTTGCTCGGTGGCTCCGTCCTGCTGGCCTGTGGTGCCTGACTCTGGGCTGGTCCCGGCCTGCCTTACCCCTCTCCCAACACCATGGGTTACTCGGCTTCAGTGCAGGAGGAAAGCTGCGGGGAGCTCGCCATGCCCCCTCTCATGGAGGGGAAGAGGCCCACAGTGAATTTCTCCTGCAGGGGCAGGGGCAGCAGGCTGCCTCGAGAGGGCCACGCCCTGACCCTCCTTCCTGTGTGTACCTGGCAGGTATGTGCGGGAGAAGACCAAGACTGGGGTGGACATGCGTGTGGGGGTACACACGGGCACCGTGCTGGGGGGCGTCCTGGGCCAGAAGCGCTGGCAGTACGATGTGTGGTCGACCGATGTCACTGTAGCCAACAAGATGGAGGCCGGCGGCATCCCTGGGTGAGTGCCCTTCCAAGGGGGCAGACCTCGGAACTGGGGAGGGGACCATTCCCTCCACCCCACAGGGCTGTGGCCCTGATTAGGGACAGGGGCCTCAGAGACTGTCCCCCCACCACCCCTGGGACAATGTTCCACTTGTCCTGCTGCTGCCCTGGCTGAGGCCATTCTGACCTGCCCTGGAGTGAAGCCTTTTTGGGCCTGATATTTGATGTGGTGTCTCCTGCCTGGACCCTGCAGTAGCCTGTCCTCTTGTCTCCTTTACCCACTTAGGGGGCTGCCCCAGCTCTCCTGATGCCAGAGCCCAGGTCTCCCCAAAGGGAGAGTAGTGAGCAGTCATCAGCTAACGGGCTCAGAGGCATTGCTTTGCAGGTCACAGTGCCATGGCACGTCTTACATGAACTTCTGTACAGGGTCCGTGAGTCATGGAAGCCCTGCCTTGACCAGGGCCAGGCTGAGGGAGGATCAGCCCAGCCTTCCCACCTGGGCCAGGGAGCTGCCTTCAGTGGCATTTAGGATTCTTGCCCTCAGTGGTGACTCTTCAGAAACGGGTTTTATTATCCCTTGGCAGCAGGGGTGGTGACTGAGAATCATGCAAGGTGGGGGATAATTGGTTATCGTGGCTCACACCTGTAATCCCAGCACTTTGGGAGGCTGAGGTGGGTGGATCATCTGAGGTCAAGAGTTCGAGACTAGCCTGACCAACATGGCAAAACCCTATCTCTACTAAAAATACAAAATTAGGTGGGCATGGGGGTGCGCACTTGTAATCCCAGCTACTCTGGAGGCTGAGGCAGGAGAATTGCTTAACCTGGGAGGCAGAAGTTGCAGTGAGCCGAGATGGCACTTGGGCCTGGGTGACAGAGCAAGATTCTATCTCAGGGAAAAAAAAAAAAATCCTTTATCACATTTGATATGGGTCACAGCCCATGAAGAAAGACTGTACTCCTCTGTCGTGGTTCCAGCACCGGGGCTGAGAGGGGAGTAGGTGCCACATGGTCCACACAGCTAGTCAGTGGCAGAACCGCCTCCACTTGGCCTCTGCCCCACGTGCCGGAGAGACACAGGGCGGAGCAGCAGCTAGTGTGGCCGTGGTCCATGGACTGTCCCCTGGGGTGTGAGGGCCGCCTCTGGCCGGTGCTCAGGGCCCCCCTCTCTGCAATCCAGGCGTGTGCACATCTCCCAGAGCACCATGGACTGCCTGAAAGGAGAGTTTGATGTGGAGCCAGGCGATGGGGGCAGCCGCTGTGATTACCTAGATGAGAAGGGCATCGAAACCTACCTCGTCATTGCCTCCAAGCCAGAGGTGAAGAAAACAGCCACCCAGAATGGCCTTAATGGCTCGGTGAGTCCCCCACCCCGCCCTTGGACTAGGGGGTTAGAAAGGAAGAGATTAAGGAAAGATTGCAGAATAGTTGGCAGGACCAGCGGTGGCTGGCTGTGTGCAGTGAGCGGTGGGCTGGCGCTGGTTTCTGGAGGAGATGGTGAGTGTAATTCATGGCAAGTTGCAAGGGAGGTGACTGTAGCCTGTCCTGAGACCACATCCAGAAGGGAGCCACTGGAGACGTGTCAGTGACGCCCAGGAGAGCAACCGGGCTGGGGATCAGGGTCTCCCGCACGGCGGGAGTGAAGCCATAGGAGTGACGCGGATGCCCAGGGAGACAGGCTTAGAGAGGAGGGTGGGGTGGGGTGGATGGGTCAGGGAGGAGGAGGACCAAGGCCAGGAAGGTTTCCTGAGTCGGAAATGAGGAAGGAATCAGACAGAAGCAATAGAGCAGGGCGCCTGGTCTATTGGCTTCCCTGGGCCGCATTGGAAGAATTGTCTTGGGCCAAACATAAAATACTGCGGGTTGAACAAGCTTGCAATGGAGCATCCTGTGGGCCCACCCTCTGATCTGGTCGCTGTGTGGGGTCCCCAGAATATCTGCAGGTCTGAAGCATTCAGCAGCCTCCCCACGTCTGTTCACGAGCCCCCAAACACCTCCTGTCAGTCTGATTAGAAACCAAGAGCAGCTGTGGCAGAAGTGGACCCCTTTACCATCCCTGCTGAATCTGGAGGTCGTTCCATTCTTTGTAATCTCTGATACGAAACCCTTCCCTCCAGTTATGAGAGTCCATCTCACAAGACTTGGAACTGAGGAGCTTGGTGGCTGTTAGGGAAGTTACATCATTTGGGACTGCTCCATGGCTGAGGCTTTGCCTAATTACAGCTAAGCCAAGCCCAGTCTGGGGAGGCTACAGGAGTGGTGGCTGACACTCCCTGTTGATACCAACCTCGACGTCATTCTCATCCAGCGTCATTTTAAAGGCCGTCCCTGACAACTCCCAAATTTGTGTCTCCAGCCCCAGCGGCATCCCTGCACTCAGCATACAGCCACTTGTCAGTCTCTGTTTGTACATAGAATAGGCATCTTAAATACCACCTGTGCAGAGTGCCTGCCCTCCTCCCCACTCCAAAACCTGCTCTCCCTCGCTCTTTCCATCTCAAGCAATGGCAGTTCCACCCTTTTATTAATAATTGCTGGCTGGGTGCCGTGGCCCACGCCTGTAATCCCAGCACTTTGGGAGGCCAGGGCGGGTGGATTGCCTGAGCTCAGGAGTTGGAAACTAGCCTGGGCAACACAGTGAAACCCTGTCTCTACTAAAATACAAAAATGTAGCCAGGTGTGGCAGCATGCGCCTGTAGTCCCAGCTACTCAGGAGGCTGAGGCAGGAGAATCGCTTGAAACCGGGAGGTGAAGGTTGCAGTGAACCAAGATCATGCCATTGTACTCCAGCCTGGGTGACAGAGCAAGACTGTCTCAAAAAATAATAATAATAGGTAATAACAATTGCTCAGACCGAAAGCTTTGAAGTCATCCCTGACGCCTCACTGTGCAGTCCACAAGCAATTTCTGTGGCCTCAGATTGCTGTCTAATCCCACCGCCTCTCACATTCCTGTCACTTCCAGCCCTGTGCCCCACTCTCATCCCATGCTTAGGCCATTGCTGAGCTCTCCTTTCCTCCAGGCCCTGCCCAATGGAGCGCCAGCTTCCTCAAAGCCCGGCTCTCCTGCCCTCATTGAGACCAAGGAGCCCAATGGGAGCACCCACAGCAGTGGCTCCATGTCGGAGAAGCCTGAGGAGCAGGATGCTCAGGTGCGTGCAGGGCTCAGGGCAGGGGCCGCAGAGGGCCAGATGCAGGCAGGCACCAGGAAGCCATACATTCCTGTAGCAGGAGTCCTGTGCTGGGGGGACCTGGCCACCACCCAGGACCTGCTCCGGCTTATCACCATAACCATGGTCAGGTCACCCCTCCAGCCCCGCAAAACCCCACTGCCTCCTCACCAGTTATGTTGGGGTGAGTAAGGTCAAAACAGGTGCTTAGCTCCGGGGCCCTGTAGCTCTGACAGCCCAGAATCCTGTAGATTTGAGATCAGTGAGGACAGTCATGGAAAATTCTATAGCATCTGAGATCATTTTGGAAGTGAGATTTCAGAGCGGGACTTACCCCCCTGGCTAGGACCAGACCCCAAAAGTTCCATGCAACATGGAACATTTCTGCAGCTCACAAAGGCAAGGAATTAGCAAGCTGTCCTGGAGTGCAGCGTGCCTCTTGGGGAGCATCCAGAACTGGTCCCTGACTGCAGGGTGTCGGGAGCATGCTCACTGATGAAGGTCAGTGCTGCGGAGATGGGATGGGCGTCTGCTGTGCGGGGACCGCCAGGCTCACTGTGAGGGGACAGGAGAGCTGGGCCTGCTGCTGTCAGAGCAGATACTATAAAACAAGGTAGACAGGGCTTGGGGGCAATTAGGTTTTTCTCAAGCCCCTCAACATTCAGCAACTTTTCCTTACTGCAGTTTTCTTGATAGAAAGTGGAAGTACAGACTCAGGGCACTCACTAGCAAGGAGGACACAGACACAGCTTTACCAACTTGTGACTTTTGGGGCTCCTTAGCCAGGGCCATGCTGCTCCCAGATCTGCTGCAGGGACAGGTTCTGGGTGCTGCCACAGACCGTGCACGTGATTTTACAGCAGAGGAAGCTGGGGTAGGGAACAGATTGTTTAGGATCACACTGTCAACCAGCGGCACACCTGTCACCTGTGCCTGTGCTTAAGACCAGGGAGTCTTTTTTTTTTTTTTTTTTTGGAGATGGAATCTTGTTCTGTTGCCCAGGCTGGAGTGCAGTGGCACGATCTCAGCTCACCGCAACCTCTGCCTCCCGGGTTCAAGTGATTCTTCTGCCACAGCCTCTCGAGTAGCTGGGATGACAGGCACACATGACCATGCCAGGCTAATATTTGTATTTTTAGTAAAGGCGGGGTTTCACTGTGTTGGTCAGGCAGGTCTCAAATGCCTGACCTCAAGTGATCCACTCACCTCGGCCTCCCAAAGTGCTGGGATGACAGGCATGGTGACTGTGCCCTGTCCCCGGGAGTCTTGACTCTGGCTCCCAGAGGCACTGTTAGACCCGTTCACCCAGCTCTCAGCTATTGAGCGTGCCCGGTCTCAGTGACTATTTAGACTGATGGCTAGGCCATCACAGTCAGGATTCCTGTTTCTGGAGTTGATACTTTTTCTTTGGAACTGGGAATAAAATGGTGGTGGGTGCCTCAGCTCCACCTTCCTGCCCTTATCAGCCCTCCAGTAATGAGGACGTTCTTTTCTCTCCCATCGTGTTCCGCCTCAGATCTTCCTTTCCAGATGAGCCAGATGTGAGTTCCTTTAACAGTTTCCTGAAGCCCTAGAGTTGGGGGGCCATTCATGTCCCGGGGTGCTGACGTATATGGCCCCCACATCCGTGCAGTAGGAAGTGCCAGGACTGCCCGGCCCAGCAGCCATCTCTGATGACAGGTCTCCTCGGGAGCCAGGGGCTGCTCCCCACAAAGCTGTCATTAGCAGGCCTTCCCTGCAGAGCTCTGGTGGGGGCCCAGGGAGCCAGGAAGGACTGGAGCTTTGGGTGGAGACTCAGGCAGCACAGAGCCACATGGAGCATGGGGACTTCCTGGAAGGGATTTTAGAGCTTGAGGGATTGGTCTTCCCGAGGATGCCCTCTTTTGTTCTTTCCTCCTCCGTCTTTCCCAGCTCCTCCCCGCCACTCTGTCCCATCTGCCTCCCTCACGCTGCCTCCCTGGCTCACAGGCCGACAACCCCTCATTCCCCAATCCGCGCCGGAGGCTGCGCCTGCAGGACCTGGCTGACCGGGTGGTCGACGCCTCCGAAGATGAGCACGAGCTCAACCAGCTGCTCAACGAGGCCCTGCTTGAGCGAGAGTCCGCCCAAGTGTAAGCGCCACCCGGAGGCGTCCGGGCCCACCGCCCCTCTCGGGCCCTGACAAGGGGTTCAGGAAACCAGGCATCCCAAGTGCAGCCCCCCTGTGAGGCCCAGCAGATGTGGCATTTGGGATTCATGGGGCTTGTTCCCGCTGCAGAGTAAAGAAGAGAAACACCTTTCTCCTGTCCATGAGGTTCATGGACCCTGAGATGGAAACCCGTTACTCGGTGGAGAAGGAGAAGCAGAGTGGGGCTGCCTTCAGCTGCTCCTGCGTCGTCCTGCTCTGCACGGCCCTGGTGGAGATACTCATCGACCCCTGGTGAGGGAAGGGTGGGGGAGGGCCACGAGTTTCCTCAGCTGCAGCGGTGCGGTGGGGGCAGGTGTCTCAGCGGGAGCCTGACCTTAGGGAGCAGCCTTGTTTCTGCTCCGTCTCCCCCACTGGGATGGCCCCTGCTGGCCGCAGGCGGTGCCCCAGGCTTCCTTCTTTTTCCCAGCCCCGGCTTTCGGAGGAGTCCTAGCATCAGAATGGGGATCTGGCCAGGATGGAGAGAGCTGAGGGACAGTGGCATCCAGAAGGCTGGAGACCTTGGCTGGATGGGCCCTCACTGGTTCTTGGGACAATGATGGGGACATTGCATCAGCCTCAGTCACAGAAGCTGACCCGGCCCCTTAATTGGCCCATCTTGGTGAAGATACATTTTGGGCTCTGGTCATGGCAGCAGGTCCTCCAGGGCTTGGTGGGGCCTCCTGGAGTCCTTTCCCCAGCTGGTGAAGCCCTATCTGAGCGTGATGACCTCTCTCTCTTTCTCCCCCTCAGCCAATCAGGGATTCCCCATTACAGAGGAGGGGTCTGGAACCTTGCTGGGATTATAGTTTGTCAAGAGCCTTGGGCTCAGTCACACCATCTTAGGTTGTGGGTGTGTGACCACGTGCAGGCCACTGCGGGCTCTGGGCATGTTTCCTCATCTGTGAAATGAGGAGAACAACCCCTGCCCCAGCTGACACTCAGGACTGTGGTGAGGCTCAGATTCACTCATTTCATAAGTATTGATTGGTCATCTGCTTCACGCGTGGGGATCCAGGGCGGGGGCTACAGCTGTGATATGGCATGCAGAAACCCTGCTGTCATGAAACTTGGGTTCTGGTAGGGGAAGATGTAGTCATAAGCAATTAAACCATTAAAATATGGATCCATGCAGGGGTAAGTACTGCAGATCCAGGGAAATCAAGGAAGGGAGGTGGGTATGCTGCTGGGAGCTTGGTTTTGTTTTGTTTGCATTTTGATGTGGGATGATGAGAGCAGGCCTTGCTGGCAGGGGAATGTTTCAGTAATGCCCAGGAGTGGGTGAGGCAGATAGCCTTCTGCTATCTGGGGGACACCTCCTTGCAACAGAGGTTCGGAGGCTGGAGTGGCCTGGCCCCTGGAGGCATGGTGAGGAGGCAGCACAGTGGGGACAGGGGCCACAGGCAGAGTAGCAGGAGTCCAGCCCAGACGGGGGTTCCTGAGACGCCACTGAAGGGCGCCAGCCACCACTCTTAACACGGAGGCCGCTGGAAGGAGGGAACAGAGGAGTCCCCTGTTGTGACATATGTCCAGAGAGGCTCGCTCCTGCTGAGAACAGCACTCAGTGAGCACAGTGGGAGCAGTGAGACCAGAGGAGACCAGGCAGTGACCTGGACAAGTCACCGTGGCGGCCTGGCCAGGCCGAGGATAGAGGAGGATCAGTGGTTGGATTCTGAGTTTTCTGGATTGACAGATGGATGCTGAATGTATTTTGGAGCCAGAGCTGACAGGATTTGCTGGCAGACTGGTTGTGGGGTGTGAGGATGGAGGACATCTCCCAGGTTTCTGATCTGAGCAACTGGTAGGACGGGGGTGCCGTTAACCAAGATGAGGACAAGGTGGCAAGACGAGAGTGGAGAGGCAAAGATCAGGAGTTCGGTTTGGGATGCGTGAGCTTTGCAATGCGCACAAGCTGAGGAGGCCAGAGTGCATGAACTGGAGCTCAGAGGGCGGGTGGGGTCGGAGACATGAACGTGGCGTCACCAGCACGCAGGCTGCGCTACAGCATGAGACTTGCTGAGCTTGAGGGAGGGGGGAGACTTGGGGAGAAGCCACTCAGGGACCTGGCCCCAGCAGGCAGCATACCGGCAGACTCAAGAAACCGAGCAAGAAAAGGGTCTCAAGGACAGAAGGGGACTGAGAATGGGACATGGATTTAGCTACCTGGAGGCTTCTGGGGCACTTGGCCAGGGCACCTTCTGGTTACGTGGGACTGGATGTGAGCAGAGGGTGTGGAGAGCAGGTTCCCGGGAGCTGGCGGATACAGTGGGTATGTTACTAGCATCTCTGCTGTGAAGCTGGGGGCCGCTGTCTTGGGCAGACTCTTAGCCCCTGGCACTGAGGAAGCTACGCTGCTCTGGGCTCTGTCCTTTCAGCACAGCCACATGGCAGGGGTGCGTTCCTAAGATCCCTGCCCAAGTTTATACTGGGCTGTGCCCAGGCCATCTGTGAGTTGTTCCCTCTCTGGGAAATGTCCCAGGCAGCAGCTGCAACTGGAGAGTGGCCCGCTCCCAGGCCAGAGCTCAGCTGGTGGCCCCCTCCTCGGGGCCTTCGTCCTGTTCCGCATGGCAGGCAGCAGCAATTCTCTGGCGTCACATGGAGCTGTTCAGGCTCGTGCTGCGCTGAGAGGCCTCCCCGTCCCCCATCTCCTGTCCCTTCCTCTCCTAGCCCCTCACCCCAGAGCCCCTCACCCCATCTCACTGTTTCCTCCGGCCCCTCCCTAATTGTCTTCTCTCTGTCACAGGCTAATGACAAACTATGTGACCTTTGTGGTGGGGGAGATTCTGCTCCTCATCCTGACCATCTGCTCTCTGGCTGCCATCTTTCCCCGGGTAAGAGGCACTTTTCTGCTGAGCTCGGAAGCCTCTGGAAGTGAGTGGCACTCCCTGTAAAACTGGGTGGTGATGAAGCTATTCTTTCTGTCCAGTCTTGACAAACAGACCGTCCTCTGCTAGGACGGTCCAGGCACTTGCCCGTCCATTCATTCACTATCAGCAGAGCACTCACTCTGGCTAGGCCACCAGGCTGTGGCTGGGCCGTGGTGGGCCGTGGCAGGCGTGGCGGGACTGTGGCACTGCAACATGCATGAGTACTACAGTCAGGTACACAGGAACCTGGGTAGAGAAGCAGTGGAGGCCCAGCTGGAAGATGGGTTGGCCCCGATTGTGAAGGCCCTTAGAAGCCAGACTAAAGGGATTAAAACTTTCTCTTGTAAGGCACTGGGGTAGCAAGCAGTTTTTGATCAGAATGACAAAGCAGTGTTTAGGAACATGAATCTGACAGGTGGCTCACCAGGCCACTTGGAGCGCTTGGGAATACTGAGCCGGGTAGACGGGTAGCTGGCCAGAGACGACCAGCCCTGAACACTGCTCCCTGCCCTGGCCTCGCCTCACGGAGATGGACCTGTGACTGGTGCTGCCCATGGCCTCCTGGAATGGTCACTGTGTCTGCTCTGGGAAGGGCTGCGACCTGGAAGCTATGCTGTCATGCAGGCATGTCGACGAGGTCTCACACAGAGCCACAACTGCCACACCCTCTTCTCAGCTCTGCCCCTTTATCAGCTGTCAGGTGACTCCCAGGCAGAGCCACTTTTGAGGCTCCTGGGCCTGGAATGCGGGGGCAGTCTGAGTTGCAGGCAGTGACGTCGGCAGGAGAAAGGGCTGGCAAAGGCTCATGGCCCTTGAAATTCCATTCCTTCTAGGCCTTTCCTAAGAAGCTTGTGGCCTTCTCGACTTGGATTGACCGGACCCGCTGGGCCAGGAACACCTGGGCCATGCTAGCCATCTTCATCCTGGTGATGGCAAATGTCGTGGACATGGTGAGCACCTGCTGTCCTCATTGAAGTACGCCCCTGTTCTCAGCGGAGCGGGGCTTCTGTCTGGGTCACATGAGCAGTTTCTCCGTCCATCCCTCCACCGTCATGTAGGTTTGGAGTGGCTCTTAAGTTCCTAAACACATCATCCCTGCCGAGTGGAGGAAGTCTTCTCCCCACTGTCCAGGGAGCCTCTGGGACAGACTTGTTTTCTTGAAGCTTCTCCTCTCCCAGCATCCGAGAGCCCAGTTCCCTGCGCCCAGGCCTGTGCTCGGGGCCTTATATGTGTTGATTCATTTAATCTGTGAAACAGTCCTGAGCAGTTGTACCAGTATCTGCAGTTTTCATATGGAGAAACTAATGCTCAAAAAGGGTCATTGAGGCCGGGCACGGTGACTCACGCCTGTAATCCCAGCACTTTGGGAGGCCGAGGAGGGCAGATCACCTGAGTTTGGAAGTTGGAGACTAGCCTGGGCAATATGGAGAAACCCTGTCTCTACTAAAAATACAAAATTAGCTGAGCGTGGTGGCGCAGGCCTGAAATCCCAGCTACTCAGGAGGCTGAGGCAGGAGAATCGCTTGAACCCGGGAGGCAGAGGTTGCGGTGAGCCGAGATCACGCCATTGCATTCCAGCCTGGGCAACAAGAGCAAAACTCCGTTTCAGAAAAAAACAAAGGAGTGGGGGAGTCATCGACTTGCTCTAGGTCACACAGCCAGGAAGTGACAGTCCAGAATGGAGGCAGGTCTAAGTCCTGGTCCTGTATGTTCTTTTCTCCCACCTCACTCTGTAAGGGACGCAGCACCCGCAAGCCTTTTGCATATCCTAAGTACTCCTTGCAGCAAGGCTCCTTCTGGTGCCCTCAGGGCCAGGGAAGTAAACCAGTTCCACTAAAGGAGCTCTCCTCCCTGTGTCACCTCACCCAGCCAACACGGCCAGTGTTCCTAGAGGTGGGTCAGTGGGGACTGCAGCTTCACAGCCAGATGAGTAAGGGCAGACAGAATCATCCTGTTCTCTGCTCTCCTCAGTTCCTGGAGAAATTGGGGGCCCCATGAAGGGGCAGCCAAATGCTTTCTTGGGGAGAAGGAACAGGAGTTGGGAGCCCAGATCTGCTGGTTTAGAACCGCTGGGCATGTGCTGAGCACGGCCTGCCAGAGTTGTCACCAATGTTCTTTTCACTTGTCTTGGTCTCCTCTAATTGTGGCAGTACCATATACACCCTCTTCCTTTTTTCCAAATATAATGTTATTGCTGTATGTTAACAACAGCAAGGAGACTTATTCCAGCAGTGGCATAAGTGAAAAAGCTCTAGGGCTGCAGCTAATGAGAAGTCCACTGGGGGCCCAGTGCGGTGGCTCACGCCTGTAATCCCAGCACTTTGGAGGCTGAGGCAGGTGGATCACTTGAGGTCAGGAATTTGAGACCAGCCTGGCCAACATGGTGAAACCCCATCTCTACTAAAAATACAAAAATGAGCCAGGCACAGTGGCGTGCGCCTATAATCCAAGCTACTAGGGCAGCTGAGATCGGAGAATCACTTAAACCTGGGAGGCAGAGGTTGCAGTGAGCTGAGAACGCACCTCTGCACTCCAGCCTGGGTGACAGAGCAAGACTCCATCTCAAAAAAAAAAAAGTCCAATGGGAATGAGGAGTTAGGGGCTTCAGAGCCTACCATGGCCAGGGGTTGCTGGGGGGCCACTACCCAGGGGAGAAAAGCCCCAGACCTCTTGCATGTCACAATACACCTGGAACCTGGCGCCCAGGTGTGGGGACCACCATGGCACAGGGTCCTGGATGCTGCACAGGACACCAGGAGATGCCGTCAGCCATAAAGGGGTAAAAAGCTAGGGAGGTACGACAGATGCTCAGGCTAGAATGACATGCTGGGAATCATGCAAGCAAGACAAGCCCCCCGGGTGAAAGTTACAAAAAGGTGGGGTTGATTCCGGTTCTGGAGGGGCTTTCTTCGGGCCACATCTGCCCAGTAGCAGAACCAGTGATGAAGACTCCAGAGGCAGTGATTGTCCCCCAAATGGAAGGGTTTGGGCAGAGACTGGGTGTCATCACAGGAGGCTGTGAGTGGGGCTCATGGCCCCGCGGTCCCTCCTGAAGCAACAGTGTGATGTGGGGAAGAACATGTTGGATTTGAAGCCTAAAGACTTGGCTCCTACTTCTGGCTTTTCCGCTTGCTAATTGTGTTTGGGCAAATCTGGCCTCTCTGAGTTTTCTGTACAATAGGGACAGTACTAAAAATACCCGAAGAGAGTTTTTGTGAATGTCAAATGAGGCGACAGCAAGGCTCTTAGCTGCAGTTACTAACTTTCATATGATTATTTCCTGGTCAATGTCCCCATCTTTCTTGGTGTTTCTGGGGGAGCTGTGGGAGGTGGCAACTGAGCGCACACTGCCACACACAACCCTCTGTGACCAGCGCCTGCTATCCTCTTGAACATGTGTCCCCTCCCACCGTCCTGGCCTCCAGCTCAGCTGTCTTCAGTACTACGTGGGACCCGGCAACACAACGGCAGGGATGGAGACGGAGGGGCGCTGCCTGGAGAACCCCAAGTATTACAACTATGTGGCCGTGCTGTCCCTCATCGCCACCATCATGCTGGTGCAGGTCAGCCACATGGTGAAGCTCACACTCATGCTGCTCGTCGCAGGCGCGGTGGCCGCCATCAACCTCTATGCCTGGCGCCCCATCTTTGATGAATACGACCACAAGCGTTTTCGGGAGTATGAGTAAGATGAAGCCCAACTGGGGATCTGTATTGTCTCCTTCCTCCCACCCCCAGAGTTCTCAGTTCAAGCCATGAGCCTGTGCTGAGGTGGCTTTCTGCCACTAGGGGTCCCCAAAGGCTTGTTCAGGAACCAGGGTTCCTGGCTGTTCACAGACGCATCACTGGTTTGGCTAGGACCTGGGAACAGATTCTTCCTATTCTTCCCGAGTGCAGGACTTGGGATGCTACAGTGTCTGGCTGGGCATCAGGCTCTTGTTCCTGATTGTGCTGCCATCTGTCCAACAGCTTACCTATGGTGGCCTCAGAGAAGATGCAGGGATTCACCCCTGGGCTCAACGGCACTGACAGGTAAGGGCCACGGCTTCCCCTCCTGGCTTGTGCTCACAGCCCTTCTTTTAGAGACAGGAATACAACAGGCCCAAGCCCTGTGATCTCACCCTCCCGGGAGGGGCATGACCTGGCATGTGCAGGTTAGAGGAGCTGGCATGGGTTCCTCCAGGAGGGCTGCAGCAGAGGCCAGATGAGTCTAACACGGACCTGGACATCCGGGCCTCTCTGTATCCAGGACAATGAGGCTTGGAGAGCAGCAGCAGTACAGTGAGGGGGGAAGCGGGAAGGCACTGCCAGGTGGATGCCAGCTGCATGTAACTGGCTGGCAAGACGGACAAGCAGCAGGAAAATGAGGAGGGAGGAACATGCTTTGGCTTTAGACCTGGATTCTGAGCCTACAGCAGGCAGTAATTCTCTGTGGGTCACAGGCAGGTCAGTTTGCATGAGTCACAGTTTCATCTTGAGGAAGATACGGAACCATAAGTCCTCTAAGGTCCCTGCAGGCCCAAGGTTTTAACATTTTATGATTCATCAGTTTGAATAGACCTTCAAGGAAGTTTAGAAATAAAAAGATTACCTAATAGAAGAGGGGTAAGACCTGCATAACCCTTCCCAAAAGAAGAACTCTAAATGGCCACTAATAAATGACACTCAAGTAGTCAAGGAAATGCCAGTTCCACCCTAACGAAATATCATCACAAACGTACTGTCGACGCTAATGAAATACGATCACACACATACCATCACACACGTACTGGTTCAGAAAAACTCGATATTGTCCAACTTTAAGTGCAGCAGTAACTCTCACACTCCTGGTGGGAGTATGAGTTAGTACAACCATGTTAGAAAATATTTTGATCTATTTAGTAAGGTTGAAAATAAACCTGTGTCCCAGCAATTCCACTCCTATGTACACACACACAGACGTGTATATGTGTGTGTGTGTGTGTGTGTACACATATCTTAGAGAAATGCATATACATATGCATGAACTAAGATCTATGTATGAGAGTGTCCATAGCAGTATTGTTCATAATAGATACACCCCCTCCCTCCCCCAAAACAAACAAAAACAATCCAAATAACATCAACAGGAAGTGGATACATAGCTCTGGTATATTCATGCAGTTGAATACCATATAGTAATGGAAACTAACCACAGCTCCATGTAAAACTAGGGACCAACGACGTCAACAGCCATGGTGAGACTGTGCCCCAGTCCCATGGCTATAGAGACCCATCACTAATGTCTCTTGCTTCTCCGAACTCCTGCATGGTTGTACCTACCTCTGTGATCAGTCAGGCAATGCTTAAACTCCTGGGGAGCGGCCCTGATGTGAATGCCAGGTGTAGTCAGGAGGGGCCAGGGGCTGCCTGGCTGTTGGAGAGGAGCCCAGTGAGTTAAGAAAGCTTTGCTGTCCTGGGGGAGCCCAACTTGATGTGAAAGGGCCGAAGGAGCTGGGGTGAGCTCTGGGGCTGGGGTGGCAGGAGGCAGCACCATCTAGTTGGAGGGAATCAGCCCCCCGCCGCCGCCCCCCGGAGGCAGATGGCAGCCGTTTCAGTTGCACATGCTCTGCCCGGCAGGCTGCCCCTGATGCCTTCCAAGTACTCCATGACAGTGATGGTGTTCCTCATGATGCTGAGCTTTTACTACTTCTCCCGCCACGTGAGTGCCTGCACGCCCCCGCTCTGTGCTGACAGCCCACAGGGCCTCCTGAGAAGCAGCCCTGGGACCTAAGAGCCCAAGCTCCTAAGGAACGCAGCTTCCCTTTACCAGCCCCACACGTGAGCCTGGTCAGGCCACTGCCTTCTCTATATTCAGGCTCCTTCCTCAGTCATACAGGAAGACAGTTCCTCACCTCTTCCATCCGACCCCCTCCAGGATGGCGAAGGAAGCACGGGAGTAAGGGTGGGAAAGGATGGAGTGAAGGCACAAAAATCCTGAATCAAACCTCTATCCCCTAGACCAGGGGTTCATGGCCCCTACATTCCCACAACTGACCAAGAGAAACGGAAGGGAGCTGATAAATTTTGTTGGGTTAAAAGGAAAAGAGAAGGCCGAGTGTGGTGGCTCATGCCTGTCCCAGCATTTTAGGAGGCTGCAGTGGGAGGATCACTCTAGTCCAGGAGTCTGAGACCAGCCTGGGCAACATGGTGAAACCCCGTCTCTACTAAAAAATACAAAAATTAGCCAGGCATGGTGGCACAAGCCTGTAAACCCAGCTACCTGCAGGGCTGAGGCAGAATTGCTTGAACTTGGGAGGTTGAGGCTGCAGTGACCCGAGATGGCACCACTGCACTCCAGCCTAGGTGACAAGGTGAGACCCCCCAAACCCCCCTACTGAAAAGGTAAGGGAGGAGGAGAGGGAGAAAGATCCCCTGTACTTAGGGTTCAGTGTTAGCTCAAGTGCCCCCCAGTGGCTTTCCAGGGAAAGTACAGCCTTCCCAAGCCTCTTCTCTGCCATATGGAGCCTGCTAGAAAGGGGGGACTCCACCCTGAGCTGGGAGATCCCAACTACTGCCACCTCCACGAGACAGACCTGCAGCTGAAATTGCGTCCCAGCAGGCCCCACACATGGAAGGCCTCCTGAATCTCCACTGTAACTACTGGGGCTGGGATCTGCACTCCTATTGGGTGGCCTTTTTGATGAGGGAATCCTCTCAGGGTCTTCCTTCCCTTGCCATTTTGCCGGTATCCCTCCAGCCTTTGCAAGGGGAGCTCCTCCATTCACATTCACAGTGCTGTTTTTATTTTTTTAGATGTCTCACTCTTTCACCCAGGCTGGAGTGCAGTAGTGCGCAATCTTGGCTCACTACAATCTCTGCCTCCTGGGTTCAAGTGATTCTCCTGCCTCAGCCTCCTGAATAGCTGGGATTACAGGTGACCGCCACCATGCCTACCTAATTTTTGTGTTTTTAGTAGAGATGGGGTTTCACCATATTGGCTAGGCTGGTCTCGAACTCCTGACCTTGTGATCCGCCTGCCTCGGTCCCCCAAAGTGCTGGGATTACAGGTGTGAGCCGCCATGCCCAGCCGTTCCTGTTTTTCATCCTTCTATCCAATGGCCAGCTTAGAGCACATGCCTCGCCTTATCTGTGCCCGTAGGTAGAAAAACTGTCACGCACACTTTTCTTGTGGAAGATTGAGGTCCACGGCCAGAAGGAACGTGTCTATGAGATGCGACGCTGGAACGAGGCCTTGGTCACCAACATGCTGCCTGAGCACGTGGCACGCCATTTCCTGGGGTCCAAGAAGAGAGATGAGGTGAGGAGTGTGGCCTCAGCCTGGAGCTATGAGGCCATTTGTCTCCATCTGTTCTTTCAGGGAGCCCCCCTGGGCCAGGCCTTCTCAGGACAGGGGATTGGGGCTCAGGTAGGGCTGAATCTAAACAGCATACACAGTATCAGCAAAAGAGGAGCTTCTGTGGCTTGTGAAGGGCACTGCTGTGGGCATTGTGATGTGGGCCACACAGCTCTGAGGCCATGTGTCAGAAGACAAGGCCTTGGCTAGAGCCCACCTTTCTGTTGTCTGTGAACTTCTTGCAACAGAGTGGTTCCCAGCTTCACTGTACCCTCTTCTTACAGCTGGGGCCGTTAGAGGAACTAAAGAAGCTGTTTTTAAAACTTATTCAAAGTAGTAGCCAGGCATGGTGTCTCTCCTGTAATCCCAGCACTTTGGGAGGCCAAGGTGGATCACCTGAGGTCAAGAAGTTGAGACCAGCCTGTCTCGACTAAAAAATACAAAAATAAACTGGACTTGATGGTACACACCTGTTGTCCCAGCTATTCAGGAAACTGAGGCAGGAGAATCACCTGAACCCAGGAGGTGGAGGTTGCAGTGAGCTGAGATTGCCCCACTCTAACTCCAGCCTAGGTGACAGAGCCAGACTCAGTCTCAAAAAAAAAAAAATAGTGATGAGCTATTGTTAAATTATTCAGAGTTGGGATAATCTACAGCCATGCCTGTTGTCCCAGACGCCTTGTGTTCGAGGCCGCAGTGCGCTTCAGCCATACCTAACCGTGCTTGTTTACTGCCATTGCATTCCAGCCTGAGAAACACAGCAAGACCCAGACCCTTAAAAAAAACCTGGGATAGGCCGGGTGCGGTGGCTCACGCCTGTAATCCCAGCATTTTGGGAGGCCGAGGCGGGTGGATCACGAGGTCAGGAGATCGAGACCATCCTGGTCAACATGGTGAAACCCCGTCTCTACTAAAAATACAAAAAATTAGCTGGGCATGGTGGTGCGTGCCTGTAATCCCAGCTACTCAGGA